AAAAAAAAAAAAAAAAAAAAACCTACCTCAACAATTAAAATAAGCATTTTCCATGACTGTAAGCAACTTTTGTTTTGTATCTTACCTGCACTTTTTTGCTTATTTTTCTCCTTTTTTTAATGAAAATGTTTGTTAGTTCCTAAGTGTGTGTTTTGCTACCAGTCATTTGCTTTTCTGTTTTTTGTAGAATTTGTAAAGCTTTTTGTCATTCTGATTTGTTCTGGAGATTGGACCCAAGCCCTCATGCGTGCTAGAGTTTTCATAGCGTGGTTATTCTTATAATAGTCTTTGTGAGCTTTTCCTGTGTAGCTTCTGCTTTGGATTTGTGACTGTAGTTGTTAAGTTCAAGCTACTAGAGCAGTGACTGGGAAGTCACTGTTTTCTAATGAAATGTTTAATTCCAAGACATGTCTACCTTTTTAAAAATCAGGATATGAAAAAGCACGTAAATGAAGAAGTTACTGAATTCCTAAAATTTTTGCAAAATTCTGCAAAGAAATGCGCGCAGGACTACGAAATGCTGTCGTGTGACGCGCAGCGTCTGACAGAGGTAAGCAGAGAGCTGCGATGGCAGGGTGCTGCATGTGGACAGCAGCGCCTTCCACAGCACGAGTTACACGGGCCCCCTTCTTCTACTGGCATAGACGCATTAACGCCCCAGTCCTGGCTTCTGTGTGGATGCGTGTGTGGTGTTGTAGTGGTTCTCCTACACGCAGCGGTCCCCTCTCACCTACAGAGGTGCGTCCCGAGACCCCCAGCGGGGGCCTGAAGATGCGTATAGTACCACACCCCACCTACCCACTCTGCCTTTCCTGTACGTACGAATGTGTGATAACGTTTACTGTGTAAGTTAGGCGCAGTAAGGGTTTAACTACAACAATCAGTAAAAAGCAGTTATGACGAAGTTACATGAGCGTGGTGTCCCTCCAAGGCCTCTCCCACACTGTCTTCATCCTGCTGGTGATGACATAAGGTGGCTGCCCATGCGGTGACCCGAGGCGGCCAGCAGAGGCGGGCGGTAGCCTTCTAGGCGGCTAAAGGCTGTCTTGCTTGAGCCTGAGCACAGCTGATGGCTCCAGGCCGTCAGCCCAGGAACCACGCTGGACGAAGGGTGGCCTCCCTCCTGAGCGAGGTGGCGTGTGAGGCTTTGATCACACTGCCAGACAGCACAGGATTTAAAACTTGTGAACTGCTTATTTCTGGAACTTTCCATTTTATATGTTCCGAGCTTGGTTGACAGCAGAGCTGTCACTGAAGCTGTAGAAAGTAAAAGCACTTAGATGACACGTAGATGCTGCACTGCGGGTGCAGCTGGCGGGTGCTCCTTTGACTCTTGCCATGCAGGATTAAGAGAAGTTCTGTTAAAAGCACTGCAGCATCAGCAGTCTTACCAAGAGCAGCCCTCACACCGACGCCAGAATGGTCTTGGTGTCACAGCCCCTTTGTGTCGTTTCTGTGTGTTCAGGTTCTTGTAATGACGGCCATACCAGAGGAGCATAAGGGGAGACGTAGCTCATCTTACGGACGAGGAGCACCGGTGTGCAAATGTGGACGTTTAGTTGATTGAGGTTATTTTTGGGGGGGTGAAGGGAGTACCAGGAATTGAACTCAGGACCTTGAACTTGCCAGGCAGGTGCTTGTGCCACCGAGCTAAATCCCTGACCCTTGACTAAGGTTTAAAATA